GCCCTAACCACCTGGCCATGCCGGGCCACAACATAGTAAGTGATGTCCAAGTTATGATAAGTGAAGAGTAATCAAGTTTAATATTTTACTATTACAGTAAGTATCTATTCTGGGAAATGTTACACCATAAAGTTCCATACCAAGAGTTACTACATCAATATAGTGTGTTGGAGTAAGCTATAATATTACAGTAAAATTAAATCCTACGAGTTATTACATTAGTTTAGCATATTGAAGTAAGTTAAATTACTCTGGTGAAGTTCCACACTAGCAGTTATTACACAAGTATAGCATGTTGAAATAAGTTATATTACTATGGTAAAGTTCCACATACGGAGTTACTTACTACATTAGTATAGTATGTTGAAATAAGTTATATTACTATGGTAAAGTTCCACATAAGGTGTTACAATGTTAGTATAGTATGTTGGAATAAGTTATATTACTATGGTAAAGTTCCACATAAGGTGTTACAATGTTAGTATAGTATGTTGGAATAAGTTAGATTACTATGGTAAAGTTCCACATACGGAGTTACTTACTACATTAGTATAGTATGTTGAAATAAGTTATATTACTATGGTAAAGTTCCACATAAGGTGTTACAATGTTAGTATAGTATGTTGGAATAAGTTATATTAGTATGGTAAAGTTCCACATAAGGAGTTACTACATTAGTATAGTATGTTGGAGTTACTAGATCAGTATAAGAGTTACTACATCAATGTAGTACATTGATGTAATAGTTCAATATTTTACTAGAAGTTGTTAAACTTGTATGATACATGTAATGGATAATATAAACTTATGTAAAAGTCTGTATAAGGAATAAAAATATTTTGTTTACAGATGACTAACTTCTTGAGTTACCACAAATAAAAAAATTGGCAGAAAGGTTAAAAATTCTAAATACAAGAAAAACATCCATTTAAGTCCTATTTTATTTTTGCTACAATATATAAACTAAAATAATAACTTGCCTCTCAATTTTTTTTGCCATTTCATTTCACTGAACAAATCTTCAGTTCGTTCAAAGAAATCAGATACCTATCATGAAAAGAAGACATTATATTATAACCATTATATTTGCACATAGGTACAAAAAATATTCAAACTGAAATGCTTCAAAGACAAATATATGATATTCAAAATCATACTTAAAGATTTGATACACACTTTCTAAATAGCTTAAAACCATTGGAAAAGAAAATTTGTACAATTTTGTGTATTCTTCATTATATATATGTAAACTTTTTTTTTTTTTTTATGTATGAACTGAACGAATATTTTCCATACATCAAGAACATCATTACCTTACTTCCTTGTTCGTCACGTTCTGTAGTGTTGTAGACTTTCACTTTGGATTCTCTTGTTAAAAATTCACATATTTGTGGTACGGGAAACACTATCTGCTCCATGGTTCGATCATGCCGAACAATCTAAATCAAAAATTAGGATTTACATTCGTTACCCACTTAAATGCTAATGTATCTGAATACGAAAATGTGAAGACCAAAAATTCTTACGTAATGACTACAATTTATACGTACAAAGTTTTTCTTTATACATGACATCCATTGTTCTAATAATATTCAAAAAAGAGAAAAAAATTATTTTTGCTAAACGAATTTTGGTAATCTAGTTAAAACTAGGTTCCCTCTTGAATTTCTACTTTTAAGTAAGCTACAAAAGTTTAGTAATGGTGAACACGTTGAAGCCAGCCCAATACGACACGTAGCTACTACAAATTAAATTAGAAAAATATTTTATAATAGCTTTTGCAATTAAAAATGTTTCACCCAATTTAGAACTTTAATATTTTTTTGTACACAAAATAAGTACTGAAGAATACATTATTTGTAAGCTCTCAATGATATTGCGGCCAATATCCATGATTCATAAACATCTTCTAAAAAACAAGCGTCTTCGTTTCCTAATCTCATTTCTTCAAATGTTCTCATCTGTTGTCAGGTAACAAAGCACCTTTTTCCCTAAAGCTTATAGATCTATTAATGCTCAGATTAACTGAATATTCAAACTTAGTGGCATGGCTTGGTGTTTAAGGCGCTTGACATGCAATCTAAGGGTTGTGGGTTCAAATCCTCGTCATCAAACATGCTTGCCTTTTCATCAATGGGGGTGTTATAATGTGATGGTCAGTCCAACTATTCATTGGTAAAAGAGTAGCCCAAGAGTTGGAGGTGGGTGGTGCTGACTAACTGCCTTCCCTCTAGTCTATCACTGCTAAGTTAGGGATAGCTAGCACTGATAGCTTTCATGTAGCTTTGCACAAAATTAAAAAGAAACCAAACCAAAATGATTGTCATTTTGAACTGTTTACAAAAACTTCTTTCGATGGTACTGGAGTACAATCTATGTCTACCTCTATTTGAGCTGTATGACTAGCATAGTACTGTAGTGCCAGATTGGTCTTAGATTCCATGCCGCTAAGGCTGGGTTTCAACATAGCTGCTAGATCTTTGTTATGTTGAGCTAGCTGGTGGCACAGGATGTAGATATTGTGTCCAACTTCTTTGGGTGAAACACCATCACTTCCTTGCAGAAACTCCTCAACCTCTTCTTCATCATCTTCATCCCCTTCTTGATGATAAGCGTTACATGCTACTTCGACCTGTAACATACAGTTTTCGTTTGGGTATGTATGTTCATGTACTGGTGTGTAATTTAGTAAAAATCCATATACTCTTATAAATGGAACAAAATACTGTAAAATTCCCATACTTTTCTTCAATCAATAGCAAAATATCAAATTTTCCTGACCTTATCTAAAACTCCCCAACGTTTCCTTGACATGAAAAAATATTGTTTTCCGTCAATTTTAACTGAATAGGGAGTTCACATTGCTACAGTTCTTATATAATAGATATATAGCTTTTAAAGTTAATAATCATTTGAAGAAGTTGCTATTAAACTATTTTATATATTACAATAAAATGATCCCCTGTAAATATGAAAGTGAAATTGGTTAATTGTTTTACTGTTACAGAATTACACAATGTTACATGCAATTTTCATAGTTGAACGCAAGGGTGTACTTTAATAAATTCCTTATTATATCTACACAACAAAATACTACAATGAAAGATGACTAGAGAATTAATAACACCCCTCTACATTACTATCCAAGCATCACTAACAAAAAACAATGGGAGGGGGGGTCAATATGAAGTGATAATGAAAGATGACTAGAGAATTAATAACACCCCTCTACATTACTATCCAAGCATCACTAACAAAAAACAATGGGAGGGGGGTCAATATGAAGTGATACAGCAACAAAAAATACAAATTATAATTCACCTTATGGAACTGTATGTATCAAATTAAACTATGATGTTACAAAACATGCACAGATTATACAAACCAGTTGTTTAGGACTCATGTTGTACAAAATTTTTTCAGCATTCTCACTGTCACCTCGGCTTTCCATGACAGCCAACAACAGTTTGGAGGCATTGTTCTAGAAAATATGTGAATTTCTTAAAACCAGTTAAAGAATGATGCAACCGAAAATGTAGAGATAACTGAAAGTGCATGTAGCAATGTAACATTTAAAAATGTACAGTACTCTGTCAAAATAAACATTTTGTAACAACATTTCTCGTTAAAAAAAACAACTGAAATACGTGTTTAAACCATGAATGTACCCAAATAAATGTTTATACCTGGTGACTGTGAAATTCAGATAAATCCTACACTTACCAAAAAATGTGTATCAGCATCGGGATGTAGCTGCTTTTAAAAACAAAATACTGCAACGAGCAGGAACATCCCTGTGTACTTGAAACAACCGGCATATTGTGCAGTGAAAGGGTTTAAACACTATAAACATCATAGGTGTCTAGTTACTTGCAATGGGAAAAGCTTCACAATTAAAAAATTAATGAATAAAATGCATCCCAAATTATTTGTTAATATGGTTACTGTCTTGAATAATAAAAAACAAGAAAATACTGACTAATAGGAAAATGGGAATCTGTCATTAAATAATGTGAAACCTTCTAAAGATTCTTCTTAGATGCAATGTGGTTATCAGAGTTATAAAATTATGTTTAATGACATTAAATCTTTCAGAAATTATTAAACTCCTTCGTGAAGAGAGAGACCGAGCGAAAGTAATACGAACAGCATCAGATTATACATCACATAACTTACACAATAAACAAGGAATGATAACTTAATGTAGAAAATTTGGAAAAAAAACATATATATTATTACTATTTAAACTCAAATATCTAAATTTAAGTTATAATTAAGTTATACATGCCAAAAGACATGTTTTTTTAACATTTACCTTCCAAGAAGGCTACAATATTCCTTGTTTTTGTTTTTTTAAGAATAATACAAGTATAGAACAATTATATTTGAAACAAAGAATATGTGAAAGAAATTTTCATTAATTATAAAAATATATTAAAAATGATTCAGATGTACTTTTGACAAAACATTTTACTGTTGCCATCCAGAGTCTTTGAACAGAGTACAATCCTCACTAAATACAACTAACTCTACTTATCCTTCTATTGTAATTTGTAATTGTTACTTTAATATAAAGAAACGATAAAATACAAGCTGAATGAATGAATGAATATCCAATGCTTTTTGATTTTGTCTAGTGGTACTTATTTTCTGAGCAGGCAAAGATGCTTCTTACTTGTTCTTGCTGAAACCTCTCATGCTAAGATGATGGAGATCCATTGTGCTTAATAAAGAAGTGACTTGTGAGTGTATATGGATTCTAACTATGCAAGTACGATCTGATTTTGTTATTGAGCTTGTTTTTCAAATTACTATAATTTTTCTCATTGTAACTACTTCACCCTACATTTTTTAAACTGTGAACTCTATTCATCCAAAATAGAACACAATTTGTTTTATACAGTAAACTATGTCATACATGCCTGCCAAATGACAAGACAAGAACTAAAGTAACAACTCTGAATATATTATTTGCCATTACACTAGTAAACACGTTCAGTCAAATTTCAGGCAAAAACAACTTACATTACCAGATATACTGCTTAACCAACCTTTAATTCTAAAACAAGGTCCATCCTCTTCTTTCCAAGAGGATTGATGTCATTCAAGATTAGTGCTATGATGATGTCTATTCCATTACTCTCATGGACAGCGATGCAGTTCTGAAAAAAAAAAAAGTACTGACGAGTCTTACTTTGCATATGTACATCTACATTGGAAAACCAAGTAATTTGTAAAACAATTTTTTATTCCCCCAATACACACCCTATAATCTTTCTTTGTATGCTTATTAGTATTTATAATACAAGGCTGTAACATTTCTATATTTTTATATAAGCATAATGCTTACTGGTTTGTTTCACATTTTTCACACAAAGCTACATCAAAGGCACTTGTGCATGGTCATCCCTAATTTTGAGCTGATAGACTAGAAGTAAAGTGGGATATGTGAACATGTCAAACGTTTTCTACCTGCTTTAGTGATATATAGATTTCTAACATTCCTGGTTATTTAGTTTACATTCTGTAATGGCATGGTCCAAAAAATGGTTAAGGTTCTCTATAGTAGATGTCTCTTCCACCTGATATGATATTGCATCTAGGTTTAAAGCAATGGCCATATCTTTTGCTGGCTGCCTATAATGTTTACTAAGTGTAACAGCTGACCAATGTTATGAGGGAACAATAGTCACAAGGTGAAGTTGTAAACTGGACAAAGAAAGTGAGTTTACCTGTTGAATTCAGGAGCAATTTCTTTAGCCAGTTTCTAGTGGGAGATTGTCAAGTGAAGACTTATTTCAAGAACATAATATTTTAATTATACAGAGGTTAATGCTGAGGGAGAGAAAGCGATCAAGTTAAACAAAGCCTAGTAGAAGCACCCGTCTTTTTGTGCACTAAGCTCACTACTATAACTCTAATGTTTGTCAACCTGTAACAGTAGTATCATGTTTTTGGTTAAGTATTCTGAAAACACTCATTTTTTTTTATCCAGTTCATGTAAGGTATTTCAGGTTAAAATTATAGCTCAATGCATCCTTATACTAAACGTACATTACCAACAAAAAGACTGAACTAATAATGTTGTTTTTAGTACTTATAAGTTGTTGTTTTTTCACTCATTAGTTACCTTTACTTTCTAATCATAATCTGATTAATAACCACACACTTTAGTTGTTTCATTTTGAAATAGTTTCTCCAGCTACATGTGAAACTAAAACTAATATAGTATACTTGTAGCTTGTCAGGAGCCACCCTAAGTAATTCAGCTTGAATTAGCTGTGAAACCAATTTGTATACTTGATCTTGACATCAACTTTTATTCTTACTTATCTAGCTTTTTCTCAAACCATTTAACATCTGAAACATTTTGATGTGTTAAAATTCTTTATTAACTTTTTCTGGACCAGAAATGTGTCACTGACATTCCTTTGGGTTTTTTCCTTCTCGTAGTGAAACCACTAAACCAAATTATATAAAATTTTATAAACTAAATAGTATCTAAATTTGGCTTAAAAAGTAATAAAATTTGATTTAGTATTTCAATCACTTTTTAAGTTGAGAAATCTCTAAAGTTTTTATTGCATGACTTTAAAGCATTAAACATTTTATATGATCAGTCAATTATAACTTCACTGATATTCATTACCAAATTTCTTTTGATTATTTATTTTCCCAGTTGCAGTAGTCTCCACTTTTTGCTATAAAATCACAAAAAAACATGCAAAAATTCACACAGAGTTATCAGTTACCTAGGGCCTGACTTTAGAGAATGTCAGGTTAGGTAACAGTATTTTTGCTAATAATAGTCTTAGTTGAGGTCAAGTTGTATCTAATAAATATAGTTTATTTTCAATAAATAATAAGCTTTCTTTTATCAATGCCTCATTTGAATACAAAAGGCAATATTCAATAAAGAATAAGTGGTGTCAAAATATTTTGTCATTGGCTACCAGACTCACTAAACCTAACTAAGCATAACTGATGTCTTTGTTATAGATGAAAACTTCCACAGCTTTCAAAAAAGTATAAGATGAAAGCATTTTCAGGAACGAAGATAACATCTAAACAAGTTGTAAAAGCATTCCCAAATCTGTGATTTGTTCCTAAGTCTTTTAAACTTCACATTAGAAATCCAATTGTGGTAGGTATTTAGATTTAATAGCCCATGGATGGTCACAACACAGATTAAAGGTATTTCTCTTAACCCCTTTCTTGTCTTGTAAATAATTTTAGAGATTGTGGTATTTAAAGTTCAGGGAATGAGCTATGACTTCCGTGAACTTTTTATTATGCTTCGATGACTTGCCGTGGTCATATATCAGCATTGTTGAAAAAATATTGTAAATCTCCAATCATACTTAACAAAACATCACAGATAACTGCTGATGTAAATTATTTCTGATGATAAACAAACACTGAGCTAATTATCAACATATTTTCATATGAAAGCAATATGTAAAAAATAAATACTTGTAAGTAACTGCTCATCTTTGATTATGAGACCCGATTCAGGTAATCCTCTATTCCTTTTTTTATATATATAGTTAAATGTGAGACTACAGCTTGTATTTATAAATTAACTATTTTGGTTCTAAATAGATTTAAAAATTACAACTTCAATAAAATAATAATGCAAGGAGACTTGTGTTTTTATTTCAATACCACCTGAAAATTAGGATGTTGTTGACAGTTGAACAAACAAAGGTGAAATAGGCAGCAGTTTCAGAGTAACACTTTTTGACAGTTGTCAAAACCTAATAACTCTTATTTACAAACAAGTCAGACAGGCAATCTTTCATACCTAAACTCATATAACAAGTCCACCAGGCAATTTGAAATTTAAAGTCATATATAGAATCCAATTAAATATCTTTCATATTCAAAGTCATATAACAACAAGTCCATCAAGCCATCTTTCATATTCAAAGTCATATAACAACAAGTCCATCAAGCCATCTTTCATATTCAAAGTCATATAACAACAAGTCCATCAAGCCATCTTTCATATTCAAAGTCATATAACAACAAGTCCAT